ATATATATATATATTAACGAGTTTATAAAGTATCCCCCAAAAGGAACTACAATGGAGACTATAGGTAATAAATTCCGTAGCCAAAAGCCCTAAATGCTTTGCCCTACAGCGGAATTGAAGCCTATGGTCCTACACCAGGGGAAAGGACTGTCGAACGGCGAGGGCCAGGCAAGGTGTGCACATCGGGGCAGTTTTGTAAGGTTCTGCGACCCGGGAGTACTCGGGTATGTCATTTCTTTAATATCATTAGCTAGTGGAGGGAGCAACTACTCGGGCATATCATATTGTGTTCGCCAACAGAATGCTGAACGAGTAATGCCTTTCTCCACTACTGGCTGCTATGATTGCTGTCGGTCTTCGTCCTGCTGTTTGTCAAGAAGGCAAAGGCTTTCACCCTGATGTCTTGGACACATCTCCGGACCCTAGAAAAAGTGCCTCCATCAGACCCTCCTACTTGTATGGCCAACTTCCTACCCATCCTCAACCCATGCCCGCCCGCCAACGGGGAGTGCTGTTCTTCAGAAGGTCTCACTTGCACCGTTTGCGCTGCAGAGGGCCGACCAAGAACATAAACGGTTTTCAGGCGCACCGTTCAGCAGCGCCGTGACGCTGCCAGTCGATGCCTGGCTCCTGTACCTATAGAAGCCTTCATATGGTTACCACCACGCATATATAGCTTTGTTTCAGCCTCCAAGGCCGTAGAACTCCTCTGCCGATGCAAATTCTCTTCTCGCTTAGCCCTAAACCCTAAACCCTAAACCAGGGTCTGGGTACTGTGCTTTTCTGGAACTCCCATGCTGCGCAGGCGTTGAAGGAAGATCCCTTGGTCCAGGCTGACCAGCACAGGACCTCCGACAAGTCACTGGGCCCAAACGTGCAGCATTTCTTTTCTTGGCTGGTGGCTTCGTATCTTATTCTGTTGGGGGTTTTAGGGACTTCTACGATGATTCCGGCAACTAAGTTAAATAAGAGGAAGCGGGGACCCGATTTATAAAGTTTGCTGCAAGTCTTACATTAGTAATATAATAGCATAATAGTATGCAGGAGCTCCATTGGGAGGTGCGCCGCGCAACCGCCGCAATCAACTCTCTTTATGCCCAGCCATAGTATGACCGCGCTGTTTGGGGGAAAAGAAATCTTTGGGGAGACCTCTGAACCCACCGGGAAGCCTCTGAGCCCTTAAGAGTTTAGCGTTTTTAGGGTTTAGGGTTTATGGGGTTTTGGGTTTAGGGTTTAGGGTATGAGCCCAGAACCCAACCAAAAACACATCTCAGCCCAGACTGCGCCCCAAAAACCTTAAACCGCAGAACCCGAAACTGCTGAGAAGGCCAGATTCGATGCAGCCCCTCACAGTTGCGGACGACAAGGCAGAGAAAAAGTGCGGCCCTTGGTTGATTCAGAGCAACATTAAATTTTAGGTAGAGTTTAAAACCCCGACGTAGGGTTACAGCCGGGCGTAGTGTTTCCGGTCAGTATTCGATCCGTGGGGCCCGCGTTTTTCCATTAATGGAGATGCATCGTGCTTGTCTGCATGTATTCGAAGAGTAGCCCTCCCCCCAATCAGCAATTGGATGTAGTCTGGTTAAGACGGTCGTTGTGGATTAGAGAGAGTCTTCTGGTATATAGCTCCTGGATGCTCTTGGGTTAGGCAGGGTCTTCTGTTGGTCAAGTGTTTTTTCGGAGTTATCTCTCTAGCATGGCTTGGTTCGACATGTTTTGACAGCACCCTTACAATTGTCATTGTCATGCATTTTCACATGATTATATATATATATATACATGTATGCAGAACGCAATAGACACATACACATACGTACATGCGTATATATATATATA